AAGATACTTTTCCAAACAGGCAATCATTAGTACTGTAGTCACGAGATTTTGCTTGTGATTTGACATCTTATTTGATAATATCATTTGCTACAACTAAATTTAATCTGGGGAATGCAAAATAGGGCCCAGGAATATTATGTTCGATATTTTTTTACATTTTGTCAGCCGAGACTATGAGTCGTTAGACAGAAAACCTTTCATGTTACCATTTTCAATATAAATTAAAAAATACTACTACATTTACTTGGTACATATTTTATTTTAATTTTGAACCTTTTTAAAAGGGTCTTTCGGTTCCATAATAAAAATTAGTTGCTGCTTACTAGAAACATTCTATATAGCCTAAACCAATTTATAGTTTGTTTTCGATCAATTTAATACAAAGATTTAAAGTTTTTAGTCGATGATAACATTCCACACCAGCACATTGCAAACCTATTTTATAAATAATAGGAATAAACTTGTAAATAATTAATTTGGTAGTTATCCCACTCATATGATTTTTTTGTTTATATGACTATTTCGATTTCTAAATATATTTTGGCCTTACAATACGAAGCGTTTTGTATCTACCACTTTTTTAATGAACGATGAATGTTGGCAGGCGTGTACCTTTTTCGGAACAAGAGGCGTTTTAACGAAGGAGATGATTTTCGAACTATTTAGTTTGTTTTCGGAAAAACGTTTGAAGAAAGTTGTCAATAACAATTTGTCGTTCATGTGTTTCATTTTGATCAGCTTTCATACTAAATTGCGTAGAATATTTTTCCGATTCAAAATCGAGATTCTCGATATTTCCACAGTTTATTTATAATACCTTCTAAACTGGATTTATCTATCATTTTATATACTTTATAATATATGTTCATGCCCTACTTTTCACTTTATTAACAATTTTTTTTTAACATACTTCAAAATGGTAGGATCTCAATTCGTTGAAATATTTTTTTATGTATGTTGAGCGATAATTCTTTACCACGTTGCCCGATTTCTAGGATTATTTTTGTTAGAAAAGGAAACAGTTTTATATACATTAAGTCAAGATCTGAAGATGGGATCCATAAGAAAATCATTAACATCTTTATTTTTAAAGTAGGTTTTTTTTTAAATTTCTTTAAACCTTACTGGTTCGAACGCGGTAAGGAATGAAGAAATGTAAATAATTGTTGTGCCAGCCAAAAAGCGAAGAGGAAGTACCGATTAAAATATCGAGTGACAGAAGAGTTCCTAAGATTGTTGAGATCGGGTTTAAGTTTTAAAATGCCTTAAAACCGATATCGATAATGTCTCCCCGTCGCTGGGCAGCCTGTATATAAATATACAGCTCTCTATTTACATAATTATAATTCTTAGGTAGGTTTAGATTTGCAGACATAAATCTTGTAATAAATATAACAGCTGCCTAATACATTGATTACATTTTCATTAGCCAATGTAAAAATGTCTTTTATTGTACCTAGGATTTGACTAAACACTATACAAAACTAAAAATAAAATGCCACTTTCATCATGTTATTAATGCCGCGTTTGAGAATCCACATCGGATGCATTTTTTACATCTCGAGCGTTTTTTATCCACATCGGACACATCTGTCCCATTACATTTACGTATACTGAATCACGTGATCAAAGATTTACTACTTACTACATCTCAGATGCATCCGATGTGGATTCTCAAACGCGGCATAAACAATAAACTACAAACGGTCCTGTAAGGGCAGCGTCATATAGTCTTGAAACACCGGATTTTAGTGCTATTGCCAGGTCAATATTGAATTTGTAGGTGAATCGCTTATTGAACATTAAAAATACGGTATAATTGACATTAATACGGTATTTGTATATATTTTTGGGAATGTAATTACACATAAATATTATTAGTTGATTATTTAAATGTGTATAAGTTATTTTGTGGCGATATTTCGTAGATATAAACTGTTTAAATCATATAATTTAAAAATTAATTAATTTAAAATTCTTTTCTGTTAGGTATGTTTAATATATTTGGCAACACTACAGGGACAAGTCATGCATATTGCGCAAGCTTCTAGACACACTATTTTGCGATGTCAGGCGCAGAGACGCGTTTTTATGCACAGTAGGTTTCAATTTCTGCTTAAATGTTATGTTTATATTGGTCTTCTATATTATTTCTATGAATCAAATGGAGTATTTCAATTTTTTTCAAATTTTTTTTTTACAACTTTCTAGACAATTGCCAATTATGATTTAAAAAAAAATCTTTCTTAATAATAACTTTTAATTGTTTATAATCGTTTTTTTAATATATTTATTGTTTAAATTATTAGTTAAGAAATGTGTTTTTTTTTAAATTATAATTGACAGTCCTTTACAAAGTGACAGCAAAAAAAATTTTAATAATAATTCCGTTGTTTATTAAGTTAACAATTTATTATAAATAAATTTCCAACTTTGGTTTATTTTTTTCCTGAAAGAAATAAAAATTCCAAAAACGACTTTATGCATTAAAATTACGGAAAAAAATTTTATTCCATTTTTTATTGTTAGAATACACCAAAAATATTTATAGTTTATAAACTATAGGAGAAAAACCAAACACCATGGTTTTGAGGTGTTTAATTGTTTATAACTTCTGCAATTTTTTATGCACTGCAAAATTTTTCTCCACACATTGATCTAGACATTATTCCGAATCGAATGATCTGTTGAACATAATTTTCGTAATAGTATGTCCCAAAAACACGCTTTTGAACTTGTTGATTAGACTAGATGGCGTTTTCACTAATTGCTTTCGTTTATCCAAAAGTTTTTTTCAAGTTTGTTCACATTTTATCACATCAATACAGGGTGATTCACTAATGTTGATCAACTTGAATGGAAAAAATATGTATTATTTTAAATGGAACACCCTGTATATTTTAATGGCATTCAAAAGAGAGATTCATCTACTTTTTAAAAATGTTTAGTTTGATATCTTTTGTTTTCTTAACAACACAGATTTTAACTGATCTAACTGTCCCAGATTTTTTCTCTGGGGATATGTGAACGATAAATGCTACAATCCTAAGCCTAACAACGTAGAAGAAATAAAAGATAACATTAGGAACATTATCGAAAATATTCCGCTAGATATGTTAAAAAAATCGTTTGAAAATTTAAAATTTCGCTTGCCTATGTGCATTGTACACGGTACATGGTAGACACATACAGCATTTATTCATTATAAATGTTTGTTTTCTAATTTTAAATAAATTTTTGTTATGTTTTGTTACTGAATAAATTATTTTTGTTAATTTTATTTAATGTCAGTTTTTAAATAAAGAAAACAGCAGTGTTACTTAAAAACTCGAAAATCTGTATTGTTAAGAAAACAAAAGAGGTTACGTTCGACTTTAGGAACACACTGTTTGACCACTTTCACTTTACTTTTTGATTTAAATGATATTATGTATGATTTTTACTCACTTTAGGTTTGGAAATACGAAAAAAAAGTATAAATCAATAATATATTTTAATTAAATACTTTTTAAAAATAAGAAAACGAGTATTTCATTAAACTTAACCTAAAACTTTAAAATTTTAATATTTGACATTTCTTTTCTGGAAAATGACCGGGGTTGCCAAGATTAATTTATTATTACTTGTTACTATTTCGGCCGTTACCCGCAGTATTTAAAAAACTAAGTAATCTGGGTATTAACAGAATGACCGGGTAGCCGAGAATTTAGAGTAAAATTTTATGTTGAATGAGTTAAATAAAATGATTTTGTAACATTGTATTTTTAGAAATTACTCAAAAATGTCATGTGAAATGTCAGTAAGTTATAAAAAGCTGTTTAATTTTATTAACAATTGTATGAGCTGATATGAACAGATATTATTCTTTGATCTGTATTAGGGGTCGAGGAGCGATGTTTGATACAGATTCTGGTATTTTATCACAAAATTCTATTATTTTTATTTAAATCAACAAATCATAAAAGTATAATAATTTACGAGTTTACAAATTAATTATATCTTCTTACATATTAAAACACTTGGCAACTCTGTACACATAAGTCAAAATATTTGATTAAAAATGTGCAATTTTTGAGATTTTAATATTAAATTTCTCGCTTAATCATGGATAATCTTCAATTTTTTTTTAATTGTTATGATATATAACTTCTTTACTTTCTAATAGTACAAAAATTTTTTTTGAAATTCGTGTGTCTTTTAAGTCGAATGTAACCACAAAAGATATTAAACTATACATTTTTAAAAAGTAGATAAATCTTCTCTTGTGAATGCCATCAAAATATACAGGATGTTCCATTTAAAATAATACATATTTTTTTCCATTCAAGTTGACCAACATTAATGGATCACCCTGTATTGATGTGATAAAATGTGAACAAACTTGAAAAAAACTTTTGGATAAACGAAATCAATTAGTGTAAACCCCATCTCTTTAGAGCAATTAATAAGCTGTGCATTTACATTTAAAATCGATCACTCTTATTTGGGACACCCTGTATATAAAAAATTTCAAAAACACGTGATTTTTATTTTCAAAGGGATATATTTAAGCTAGTTCATAATTAAATTACATCAACTCTCTAGTGGGGGTGACAACAACCCCTAAAATCACGGTAAAATACCTTTTTAACGGAATTCCTAATATAGAGTATTATATTAAATATTTTAAATACACCAGCTACTTTTTTAAGCAGCCCCTAAATTAATCATTACATCCTAAAAATTATATTTGGCATATTCTTTTTAAAACATGGTGTCTTTAAAATAGTTTCTATCCTTTTTCTAATGTATTTTAAAAAATAAATTACACCTAACAATTAAAAGAAAAACAGTTCTACAAACTATCAAAATCATTCACTTTGTAATTATATAAATTTTTAAACGCAAATATCTTCATAACTAACTTTTACTATTACTTATCGGGTTTTTACTCTTTATTTTCGATATATCTTGTTTGAATATAATTAACTAAACATAAAAATCATTTAAAATTAACTTACCAAAGCTTGAAAAACAAAAAACTGAAAGCAGCGTACAAGGGTCGTCTAGTTATTGACTGAATTTTTTGCTTTGCAAAATTATCTATAATAAAATTATCAGATAAAACCTCACACTCCGATGGTTCGATATAAAATGGGAAGCTCAATTCTAATGAACGAATTAAATGCCCGATAGCAATAAAAATACAAATTTTGGCATGATTTGATAGACGAAAAAGTGTCCTTTTTTCTTCGTACTACGTGTAGAAGTGACCTTGACTATAAAGTGGACACAAAATTGTAGCTTGGTGTACCTATATAAGTAGGATACTTAGATAGTTTAGCGATGTTGTTAATTACAAAATTTAATTTAAAAGATACAAAATCAGATGAATTCGAAGTACTTTTATCAACTAATTTTTAAATAATTAAATTAGCAAAATGCCGGCAGGCTACATTATGTTCCTTATTCTTTTATTTGCAACCCTTTCTCTTCTATTATTTTTTAATCGTTCTCCACCAGAAATCAATGTTGATGACTAAGGACCGGAAAAAATGCATTTTTGATTTTAATTTACCGTATTTTAAAATAATAATCTTATATACAGGGTGAATTACTTTCGAGTAATGACGTCACCGTAATTTTTTTTAAATGGAACACCCCCATTTTGTCTCAATTTTCGGATTACTCTAGCTGAGCTGATTCCAAATATGTATCACATGTTGATTCTAATTGGTACAAGGTGGGCAAAAATACAATAGTTTTGTGTGTGCTCATAAAGTAACGCGTAACATTCTTTATTAGTTAAATTAATAATATTATCAAAAATACTTATTGTCCAGCGGACAGAATATGATGAAATACATGACTTTATAAATGTTCGAACTGCAGCCCTTGCTGTATTTGACAGTAACCCGAACGGTGTACAAATTCTTGTTGAACCTTGTTTATTGTGTCTTGAGAAATATTGTTTATTGTTGTACGACTTCTCTATTTTAATTCTTGAATATTTGCTGGTTTCGTTTGATACAAAACATTTTTCAGATGGCCCCACATAAAATAATCCAAAGGATTGAAATTTGGTGACCTCGCTGGCCATTCGATAGGTCCACGTCTACCAATCCACCTGTTCGGAAAAATTTCATCTAGATACATTCTATCATCTACAGCATAATGTGGTGCATTATCCTGTTGAAACCATAAACTTTCATCACAACCTCCAGGATTACGTCTGCTGGGAAACAAATTACGTAAAGTAGGTACAAGATACCCCCTTCCCAGCTAGCACCGGACGTCGTTTCACGTCATAATCACGTTGAATTTTGGTCAAATACGTCGATGTGATTTTTTGACGCAAAAGTAACGTAATAATGACGTCATTTTCGGACCAATTTGACACGTAAACACAGTTGTTGCGAACAAAATACACCTATTTATGTCATAAATGCAATTCGAGTTTTTGTTATTCATTATTAGATAAATAGAAGGTAATTTAAACAACATCGTTTATTTTGCGGTCATTATGACACCAAAATAAGACGTACTATGACGTTATTTAGGGACTAGTTTGTCACGTTCTGAAATGAGGCGTTAAACTGCGCACGTGTACACGTCGATTCTATACCTTTATTGTTTTACATTCTATTTATTAATAAAAGTATCTTTAGTGTTTATAATAAATTTATGATTCTCATTTTAAATCTAGGGATTTTTGGGAATTTTCATTTTTAAATGAAATTTTATGTCAACACTGTTTAGAAATGTCAGCTATCATGTCATTGTCCAAGGTTAGCGGTTCACGCCATTTTGTTTGTGTTATTTTTGTAACTTGTGTTTGGAACATTCTTTTATTGTATGATTTTGTATGTGTTTTGAAGGTAAGTAGTTAGGAAGTTTAGTGCGATATTATTGTTTATTTTTAGTATGTTTATAGGAATTCAATACGCCGACAAGCACGGCACCGGAGTATTATTAAACCACTTTAAGTTCTAAGTGGCCGACATCCTGGGAAATGAGGTTCTTATAAACAACAATAATCTTTTAACAAGAGCTTAAAAAAGGAAAAAATTGGACTCTTTCCTATTTATAAAACATATTTTACCGAAGGTGAGTGATTTTTTATATTGTAAAGGTGCCTGTAGCTAGCCTAATTTTGTTTTAATTATTAACGTAGACATTAATATAAACAAAAATTTAAGGATTTTAAAACAAAACCGTTCATAAAGATAATTTAAACATACACATTCCTAAGATTTGAGCATAAAGTTGATTTTTATTTATCTTTACTATGTTAATGTTGATGCCTATGTTATTCTGTATAAACAGGTACATTGAAATAAATTGACAACTTTTATGTTGAAACTAAATCAGGCTGACTAAACTCACCTTTAGACAATTAAAACACTGGTCTATGTATTATTACTAAAACCTTTCCCTTTATGTACTGTAGTTTTAATTACATTGTTTTATGAAATTATTTTGCATTATATACCTTGATATTATATTTTTTGAATTTTTGTTTGTAACTGAGACCTATTATAGTTATAGTATTTCGTAAACCATCTCTGTGAGCCATTTTATTTATTTAAAAAAGTATAGTGTATAAAATTATTAATCTGTTTTAGAGAATTACCAAATAGCTAGCCAAAAAGCAACAAAGGTTCTTATGACATAGGATATAACAAGTGATGATGAGTTACAACCTCTTCCTTGTAAAAGAAAGCCATTAAGAAGAATATTTTCAAGTGAAGCTGATGAATTCGTTATTGATGACGAACCTATTGGTAGGTAAGCACTGCTTTGTCTAGCAAAACTTATTTTTTATTATGAGTAAAATTCATACTTTTGTGACAATGTTATAAGTACATTTCTTTTATTCCGAACAACATTTTTTTCTTCAAATGTCAATAATTATTTTTCACAATTATTAAAAATCTCACCTTTACATTCAAAAGAGCTTGGGGGTAAAATAATTTTTCCTCTTATTAATATATACCTTGTAAAAATAATAACATTTCTTCATTTCATTAATTATAAAAAAGTCAGGTTAACCTGGTTTAAAATTCACAATTTTACATCACTTTAAAACTTAGCATCATAAAATTATTATTAAAATATTAGGTTTTTGACCCATGAAGAAATACTAAATTTTGTGTTAGCTAGGAGCATCTAGTACTCTTTAGCCAGGCGCATATTAAATTTTTTCATTGATTTCTCTTGACAGATCTGATTTTATTTATCTTGTTAAATTTGTGAACCATCAAATATATCACTTTTGTGACAGCTTAATGATATAAAACAATTTCTGTCTTTCTCGGTCAATGCTAACTCTATTTTTTGGCTCAAATTTTATTTAAATAATTAAGTTTCTGGTAGTTATAACTATTATATTTTTGTTTTAGTGAAACGAAAATTTAATAAGGATACCATTGAAGCTGCTTCAAGCCTGTATATTCGGAATGATTTGTTGAATATCTCGACACTGCTATATAATCTTTTGTAATTTATACATTCTAAGTACATATTCTAAGAAGTAATGTTTATTTAGTAATAGTTCAGGTTAGTATACTATGTTTCAATTCAGAAATTTTATGCAGTAACCTATCTTTTTTTATATAAAACATATTTTTGTTAAACATTTTTTAAATAAAACGTTTTTTATAAACATTTTTTTACAAATTAAACATTTTTAAATGAATATTATGGTGTTTTTTTGACGTCTAAACACGTTATCTGGTGACGTGTTTATCACGTCACTGTATGACGTCTTTGATCTGTGACATATTGCCGTCATAATCACGTCACTAGCACGTCATAAATTGGTGATTTCGACGTAAAATGTGCCGTGTATTTCACGTGAAAATCACGTGTCGGTGCTAGCTGGGTTAAAAACTCAAGGTACATTGCCCCGTTTAAATTACCTTCGATAAAGTAGGGTGCGATGATTCGATTTCTTACAATTCCAGCTCATACATTTACCTTTTGCGGGTATTGTGTATGATGCTCACGCATCCAGTGGGGGTTTTATTTTGCCCAGTATCTACAATTCTGACAGTTAACCTCGCCATTTAACGTGAAAGTGGTCTCATCAGAAAAAAAAAATGTTTTGTATCAAGAGAGGGTCTCGGTGACATTTATCCATCATTTTTTCGTAAAATTGGATTCTTCAATCGGGATCATCTTCGTTTAATTCCTACACAAGTTTGATTTTATGAGGATATCATTTTTCAAGCTTTAATAGTTTGTGTACCGTTGTTTTGCTAACACCGATATCGCGACTAACTTTACGCACAGAAGTGTGCGCGTCTTCTTCAAAACTAAGTAAAACATCTACTGTATCAGCATTTGCAGAGGGACGACCTGATTTGCGTACATTTTCAACCGTACCAGTTTCTCGAAATTTCTTTTCAATTTTACTGACTGTTGAACGCGTTATAGGTCTTTCTGAATATTTATCATTAAACAAATTGCACACTTCCATCTGAGTTCGCGATCTGTCTCCATACCCAATCATCATAAGTATTTCAATATTTTGTTTTACACTTAACTCCATTTCTAATTCAAATTAAATCTAAACAATAATTAAAACATTCACGAATACCAAAAATATTGTAGTACTAAACTGTCACTGAACATCAATAAATTACTAAACAAATAATGACATTTCACAAAAAACTAGACGACTATGTTTTTTCAAAATTGATAAGAAATAATTTCTTTCATATTCTGTCTGCTAGACCACAAGTCCACCCTGTGCCAATTGAAATCAACATGTGATACATTTTTGGAATCAGCTCAGCTAGAGTAATCCGAAAATTGAGACAAAATGGAAGTGTTCCATTAAAAAAAAAATGATGGTGACGCCATTACTCGAAAGTAATTCACCCTGTATATTAGATTATTATTTTAAAATACGGTAAATTAAAATCAAAAATCGACGTGTATTAGGATTATTTCTTAAAATGGTCTGTTTAGCTAAAAATGAATTTGTTCCATACTTTACGGACACACTGTATACAATCGACATGCTTTTTTCTTACAATTAGTATTGATTCATCTGGTACATTGAACTTGCAATAATTTTGCAAAATGAGTTTAATTTAACATTATTTATTTTATTTAAAGGTATATTTGCTGAAAGCATTGCTTTGCATAAATTTTCGTTAAACTGCATTTGGTTG